TAATGTCCATAGAAAATAGAAACTTTAATAAAATAAGGATTTTATAAGTAGAAGGTGGTAATTACATTATCCAAGGAATTTTTTAAAATTTATATTTTAAAGATGTATTAACTTGCTTTATGTTAATTATGCTGGGTAAATACTCCTGCCTGTTTATGGTTTTCTTTCTGTTATTTTGCAAATAGAAATTAAATGATGCTGAAAATTATAAGTATTTACTGTAATACTCAAAATATCCTCAGATATTATATATTATATGTTTTTCTATGTCCATGTTTAGTAATATAATATATATTTTTATTGTTCAATATTGTTTTTATCCCTAATATTCTTGAGGAAGTTGAGATACTTAATTTTTCTTCTTACAGTTTCTAGTTACTACTAAAGAATACAATAACTAATACAAGAGACTTCTGTAGATTAGAGACCACTTTACTTATCTTTTTGATGACAGGATAGATTTGTGGGTAAAAATAATGTTTTTTTTCTACAGTATCCATGTCTTACTTTCTTTCATTATATATATTATTACCATTTTTCCATTTTAGATTTTCATTAACTTGGATAACTCTCTATATTTTTATTTTTAAATAAGAGCACTTACTTTTAACTAACATAAAGTCTTTACGTTTAACTCAATAGAAATATTGTGAAGAGAAATGCTATCATGCCCAAGGATAAATTTATCTTTCTTCCTCCAAAATAATAAAATATGCCTAATTATGAGCAATACTTACTTATTTGCTGTGACTTCCATGGGGGAATAGTCTGTATCTTGCACTTCTCCTAACCTTAGAAGCAATGCTAAAAAAATAGAAATTAAAGTTTTTTAAAAAGGTGAAATTTGTATTGTACACATTGTGATGAACATAAACATTAGGCATACAACTTTTAATTATTTATTGCCCAACCATGTGTATATATATATATTATATTAATTACTCTAAAATGTTTCATTTGTATTTGTTTTGAGTTTTTAATGTATTTATTACATCAATTATATAGTTAGTGTTCAGAAAATTTCTATATATTCTAGATATTTCAATGAAAATGCCATGCTTTTGCTGTTAATCTGCTTAATATATTATATAGTATTGACCTAGGAAAGGCATTTCTTGCCACAAACCTGGGACTATGGGACTATACTTCTTGTTTTCAGAGATACATCAATTTATTTTTTAAATGTAAGAGTTTAACTTTTTAAAACAAAAGAATAAATTCATAAGAAGCTTTACTTTTTACAAGTTTATTTTTCATGAAAGCTTATTAATTTACTAATGAGATTTTTATAATGTAAACATGAAGTGAGTCTAATATAATGTAGACTATGTTCTGAGTTAATTTTCAAACAATTATCTTTGATTCCTTAATATTACTTTGAAACATTTTATTGTGTTGGTTGTTTTTCTTCATTTTCCTTTTCTTTTTTGTGTAATAGTATTCTTCTGTTACACCTCTAGATATACCCTACATTGAGCTTTTGTTAGTCTGGCATTGTATGATCACAGTGGATGAGTGAATAGGTTATAGAAAAGAGAACCTCACATAGATTCTCTGTATTTTCTTTGAAAATGGTAATAATTAAAGTACCAAAAATGATGAAGGAACTTGCATCAACACTTAGAAATTTAACAAAATATTTTAAGAGCAACTATACTGAAAGGAAAAATTATTCAGAGCCAGTAACTTCACTAGATGATCATAAAATTATTTTTCCTTTAGAACTGACTCAAAAGAGGTACTAAAAATATGATATTCTTTCAGTCATAGTTTTCCTTATGAGTAAACATTGACATTTAAACTCAAAGTCCTCCTAAATTTTATAATTGCATCCTGTTGTCAGGATTGTTTGTTCCTGTCTCAAAGTCTGCGTATGCTAGGATATGATTTTAAGGCTGTGTTGTTCTAATAATGGCCAGTTAAAGTACTAGCAATCAACATAAATTAGTGGAGGGGATGTTAAACAGTATCCTCTGCAAATGCTTGCAGTTTGGAATAGCAGTCACCGGATAATGCAGAATATAGTCTGTTTTAATCCAGATAACTGACACATTAAAAAATCTGAACTATTTTAAACATAGATTAGAAAATAATAACTGCTTATTAAAAAAAAAGTATGATAAATAGTAAATCACTCTTAAGGCAATCAAATTATTTACCTAAGAAAGACGACATTTACAGGTGAACAGTTCCCAATCTTCTATGTGGCTTACCCTTTGGGAATCTGGTAAAACCAAAGGCCACCCTTCTTAAAATAATGTTTTATATGTAACTTAAAATAAAGCAAATAAGTCGGATTAGAAAGGAAACTATATTGAAATACTACCCTCATGTTAAGAACCCCAGGTGAACACTAAAGTATTTTAAGTCTTGTAAGTGGTTATCTAGTTGCTACCATTCAAAATTAATTATATATAATTCTTATTTTAAAATTAAAACTCGCTCAAAATTTTGGTGGAAGTTTTCAAGTCTTGTATCTTGACTACTTAAAATAAGCTTCCATTTGACTGGGTAATTTAGGCATTGGTGCTTTAAATTTTCTTAGCAATAACCGTAAGTCTTATCTAGTCAGACATAGATCTTACCCAATTTTCTATGTTGACCTTGTCTATGTGTAATCAAAGTTTAAAACGCAGTAGCTTTCCATTCCCCTTAACTGTGGTGGGACATTATGGGAAATTTCTATCTTTTATTATAGTCCTTTTCATGTTTCATTTATTAAAAATATTTTAAAAATATTTCAAAATCACACTATGGTAATTATATACTTTATATTATTTGTGGAGGAAAAAAGTAAGTAAAATTTGAAAGGTTGGCTATAATTTTCAAACAACTTTTCTAACAAAGACATTTTTGTATAAGGGCTTTTTCCTAAGGAGTTACCTCTGTTCTATAAATAGTAGTACCTTTTTTGAGAATATAGGATTTATATAGAATATAGTTAGAACATAGCAATACATTTGAAATAATTGTCTGGATTTCATGTACAGTCATATATTTCAATAATTAAAAATATGGTAGTATAAAAGAAGCAAAACTCTATATTCTACTATTTCATTTTCCACTTAGAAAGATTGCTTGATGAAATGAAGATATATCAAGTTTGGAATAAATAAATGAAATACTAGCTTGATTTTTGGTTGGCATAGTCAGATATTCCATAAAGTTTCATTACCACATGTTATATGGTGAGATAAGTTTATTATTAACCTATAATAATTTGTCTCATAAATTGTGGGGCTGATGTTAGAAAGCATAATAATTATTAAAGATAGTAAAAATTTTTAATATAAATGTAAAATTGGTACTTTTTGAGAAATACACTTGGTAAATTTAAGATATACACATATAGATAGAAAGAGATTGATAGATCTAACTCTATGTATGTTTCTGGTCATATTTTCTGATGAGGATATACAAAAATATTACACTAAAAACATAATAAACTATTGGACATAATTATTCCTACAGAAAAGTGTTCTTTCTAAAATATATTTTCAGAAACAAAAATAGAATTATGATTTTTACACTGAGATTGCTTTTAATTTCTCTTTTTGACTAGTAATTGAATATTGTATATGTATTTACAGTTAATCCCAGCTATTCCAACTTGTTATGGATATACTTATATAAAAATACTAACCTTATCTTAGAAAATTAATCACATTTTGGTACATAGACTTAAAATATTTTAAAATGATTTAACTTCTATGTCACCCTATGAATTAGAAATGTAAAGTAATTTCAAGATATGGCATAGAATAAACCCAGTATTAATTGTGTAAAGTCATCTAATCTAATGACCTCTGGTCAAAAGTTCTATGCCATGTAGTTCATGATATTTAGGAAATTATGTCCTTTTTTCATATTTTTCTTTTGTTGTCTGTGGTTATTTTTTATCTTTTATTATCATAAAAAGGATGAGAAAATGTATTGGTAAAATGTGCGTTCTTGATACATTAGTCTTGAAATTAATGCTTGTTTTACTGTCTGTAATATATGGAGATAGATTGTTGGATCTATCTCTATAAATATTTCCATTTTTGTGGTTGCAGCTGGGTGGGAAGATAACAATTTAATTGAAGTATATTTGGCATATGTGTAACTTTTGAGTTCTGGAGCTAAAGCTAATGTTTTTAGAGTTGTCTTACAGATTGTGGGACTGGTGTTAGAAAACATTTATTGAATGTATTAGGTGTACAAAACATGCTAGGCTCCAGAGATACAAAAATCAATAATAATAGGTTAGTTAAAAGGAAGCATACTTCCCTCAACAAGGATTAAGTTTTAGTATTCAGTTTATTTGTGGTCAAAGAGATCACATTGTTTCAGAATTACTATTTCAGTTCATTTCAATTAGTACCCATTCTACATTTTATTGATCAGCATAGTCAAAGTGGATTGAGATAGGTGGCTAACCAGTTTTCTGCAGAGTGATTTTTCTTGTGGACCATGTTTAAATGTGCTACAGACTTCAAAGTTGCCCGACTTTCTTATAACCTCATTTGATTTTTCTCTTTCAACATTGGATGTATACTGTGCACTACAGCCTTTTTTTATCTTAGTCGGTATACTAATAAACAGCCTCAGGGACTTGAGAATTAATGCATATATGGTTTTCTTCACTCTTTTGAAAATGTTAGGAAAAGTCATTGAGTTCTTTTACAATAGAAAAGTTCACATGTTCCGTTTGGAGAATTCATTTGGAAAGTAGGCAATTTTGGTTGTCATTGATATTGATTATAACTGAGCAACTCTTGTAATCTTCACTGGGAATTGCTATTAAAGGCAGATTATTTTGGTTCCTTAGAAATTCTTAAGAAGTTTAGAGAGGATTTGCTCAGAATATGCTGGGGGAAATCTTTTTATTTTATTTATTTATTTTTTTACATCTCAATAATTTTGAACAATTACCTTTTTCAAAATCAGTTTGATGCATCATAACCAAATAGCAGAGGGCACTAAAGATCAACTGAGCTGCTTTTTGACTAACGTTTCAGGGATTGTGAAGCAGCAGATAGACAGCCATATCACAGATCCAGATCAACAGAACAACGGCCTCTCCTTGAGCGGACAACCACCCGCTCCAGATCCACTGAACGTCCTGATACAAACCTCATGAGGTCGATGCCTTCATTAATGACTGGAAGATCTGCCCCTCCTTCACCTGCCTTATCGAGGTGAAAGATAAATCAATCAGACTAACTTCCCCTTTGCCCTACCAGCACACCATTTTGTTTTCCCAGCAGCTAAATGGTCTCTTCTATCATCCTTGGCTGATCACTAATAACAATCAGTACTAACCTTGTCAATGTAAACACACTATTTATATTCAGTGGATATAATAGTGTGTGGCTACCATTGTAATCTGTTTAACTGTCCTGACTGCATTTGTTTTGTGATTTCTCATTAATCAGGAGTCCTGAGTAAATCCCCTCATAATTACCATGTTCTTCTACAGAATGAGAAATTATGTGTCCATTAGACATCACTTTTCAAATAATCATCATAATGACCAATAAAACTAGATCTCTATTTTCTTTCTATCAATACTAATATCATTAACCAATATTGTCCTTAGCTGAATTTTTTAATTGTTCAGGATTTTATTTGTAGTTTCATGAGATATTTTATAATTAAGGGATAGTTAAGATAAGCCTGAGTAAAAAATCTCTTTGGGTCAAGGGAGGAAGGCTTGAGTTTGAAATCTGGTAGAAAGAAATGTGAAGTACTACTTTTTTTATGTTTTGAATTGCAGAATTCTCCTTTTACTTTCATATGGATAGAATACTAATGTGCATCAGTAATTCCATGGATTTTACTGTAGGGTTTTATGTGCATGTATGTGTGTATGTATGCATATTACACAAAAATATGAACATCTTTCAAATATCCATATTTTGTCCTACTTTCCTAACCTTTGGATCAGCAGCTAAACGTCTTTTTAAAATTGTACTTGTACAGCTATCATATGAACCAAATGTATTAGAAATATTCAGCTCATTATACTGAAAAGATATATTAATGGTATATTTTGTAGGTCTCATCCTCGTACTGGGTCTGTCCAGACAAGCCCATCAAGTACACCAGTGGCAGGACGAAGAGGCCGACAACTTCCACAGCTTCCACCAAAGGGAACATTGGAGAGAAGTAAGTTTTATTTCTAATTATGTCAAATAGGAAATGCACATGGAAGCTAAGGTGAATCAAGATTTTCTTACTACCTTTATGTTACTCTTCTTTTTTTATTAATTGTATGCCTTGGCTGCATTTGAAAATAGTTATTTTATAAATATATATTTTGCACTTAAAATTTATAATATTTGGAGGGAAAATAAGTTATTATTTTAGCACATTTTAAAAATTTGAATAAATGCATTTGTAAAAGTAAACTTAATACTCTTAAGTAAGCAGTTGGATGATTTTTCTTTGCTACAACTAAGTTTATGTAATTGTTGATGGTTACATAAAGTTTATTAGTAACTAGCCAAATCAATTTTCACACACTGCAAAGGACTGGTTAGCTGATGCACAACAATGGTGATCCTTCTCAAAACTGGAGTACGAGAAAAAGGTAATCATGAATATACCAAGAAAGATGCATGTTGTACTGATATTTTTAATAACTTCAGAATTTTGCATAAGAAGCACTATTTGCTGACATAGACATGAACATACTTCCCAAACACCTATAAATACTTGGATAAAGGATCTCTAAAAGCATGGAAAATAGAATATAGTAATTTTTAATATTTTAAAATTATGATCCCTTTATTTGGTAACTGGATGTGCTTTGCAAAGATAGATGTAGATATATATTTTTATATACATTTAAATCTCCATTTAGCTTTTTTTATTAGACAATACTTTCTATGCCTTTGGAATTTCTGTTGTTTTTTAACCCCTGTGCTTTGGTTCCCTTTTTTTTTTGTTTGTTTTCTTTTTATTTTATTTTCCCTAGACAATGGAGTCAAGGAGATAGAACCTTATGAAGGTCTGTACATAAAGGAGGGTTTGTTTTGTGCTGACAGCCTTTTTTGGGGGGCTATGTAAGCAAAAATAAACCCAACTGCAATTGATGTCCCTTTATTGTATAGACTTTTATAGAGAGTAAAATTATTTTGTTTTATGATTTCTGATAGAGTATTCAAATTTTATTTTATTTGGACTCTTGCCAGGAGTGAAATTTCTTTGATTCATCGAGTAGGAATACAAAGAGTTTAACTTATTTTAAATATCATATAAAATTTGCTTTTGTAAGAAAATTTAATTACCTCTTAGGCAGAATTCTAGATTTTAAGTAAAACTTTTACTAATGATATCAATTGCAGTCTGTGTTTATATAATTGAGGATGTACACATAGTCTAGTTATATTTATCATCATATATTTCATTTTGTACTTATGATGATCTTTTTAATAATTTGGCTTTCTAAAAAGGAAAGCTGTCAAATAAAATGTGATTGTGGTTTGTATTTCCTACATCATTTTCCATGTTATAGAAAAGTTAAATATGATGCAGTTTTATTATCAAACACTACATACTACTCAAGAAAAATATTGAGTTATAATATAGGGAGTGTCATAGGACAATAAAAAAATTTGTGCTAGTTATGATATTCTTAAATTGAGTTTGTAAATTTAAAAATTGTTGATTGTTTCATTTAATGATCAATCATCAGCACATAGATTAATGCCTGGCACATTGAATGCCCTCAGTAAATATTTGTTGAATGAATGCATGAAATATCTATTCAAAAATTGAAAAGCTACCTCAAGCAGTATATAAAGTACCAGTAAAACGTTCTTGTCATTCTTTATGTTTATAATAAGATTCTTTTTACTTCAACCTGTTTGGAAAAAGTTTATAAGTGCATTGCACTTCAGCAGCAATACTTTTATTATCTTTCTTATACAGCTTGTCGAAATAATTTGTGTTCTTGTTAGTTGCAACTGAGTGATTATAAACTTCTGTTTGTGGTTCTTTCTATTTATTATTTAACTTTGGACAGCCCAGTGCTCTTGTAACTAATGGCTTATTATGCTGCCTGATAAAGATGTCATCAGCATTTCTGTAGTTCTCAATTATTAGCGTTTGATTGTGGACATATAATTTTCTTTTCATAAGGGAAGTTCAGAAGAATTTGTGAAAATTTTGTCTCCCCAAGATTATTTAAAGATAAGAATTGTTCATTGGTATGTGAAAATGAGAGTCATAGTTTATGCCAGCTGTTAAAGAATTCAACTTTAGTATCTTTTATCACAATAATGTATTGAGATATGAGTAGCTCCATCTTTATCATAGTAAGCATGTCAGAAAGCCAATCATATTGCTTGTACTGAAAATCGGGGTTGATGAGCCTGAGGACTGTATCTACATTCCACGTATCACTTTTCCCCTGCAGAATACGTTAAAAGCTCAATTTTCCATTAGTGTCCCCAGTTATGATTTTTTTACATTTCTTACTTTCCAAAAAAAAATTGGTTGGGTGGGGGCAAAACTTCTGTTATCCTTTTAGTGTGAAATAAAAGGGCTTTCACTTGTTTATTTTGTTTTACTTAGAAGTATGGATGATTTTTTTTTAAAAAAAAAAACAGTGTTTTCATAAATATTGATGTGGAAGATTTAGTAGATGCATGACTATGTAATTGGTTTTAGCTTTAGAGAAGATACATCATATTTCCTTTAGAAATCTTCAACTTCTAACTGAAGTTAAAGATACAGTAACTCTAAATAGTCTTTCAATTTATGGTATAAATGAAATTCTGTGTGGATTCTCTCCTAAAATGTTAATTTTCAGAAGTTGTAATTAAATGGTATTATATAGGGATCAAAGCATTGAAATATTCATCTTCTAACCCTCTTCAACAGCTAAAAAACAAGCATTTTCTAATTTAACTCCTTATGATTTGGGTTATTTCATATTTTAGTCTGTTAAATAAATTAGTTTAGAATCTCATATTTTGGTATCTACTGTGGCACTTTATTTAGCTGTCTTCTCTTTGCTGAGAAACAGAGGGAAATAAGTAAGAGCGATATAGAAAGTATAATGTACTAAACATTTGCAAGGCATTATTATTTATTTTCCTCTAACTTTGATGTGCTGCCATTATGTGAAGATAAAAAAGAGTTTATAACATCATTTTTTGTCTCTAGAAAAGTTATTTAATATCACTTTTCTAATATTATGCAATGTTTATAGACAAAGTATTTTGCCCACTTTAGCCAGTTATCCATATATTGCAAATATTTTAGAGGTCACTATTTCTATTTTATAAATCAAAGTCATCATGAAAACAGACCATGTAATAATTGGTTAACAGTAAACATATTTCATTTTCCATAACTTTCAGAGACTCATTAAAATAATTTATTAGTCTCCTTGGAATCACCTATTTTATCAGAATGGATAATTTGAAACTTTTTGTTTGTTTTGTTTCATTTGAGAGTAACAAATATATCTATCTGGTCTTATCTTTTTTCTTTACTTTCACTTCTGCAAATACAGAAGTTAATGAAGAAACTGGGCATGTGGAAGAGCAGGGGGGAGAAAAGCAGGGAGAAGAGGTCAAGGCAGGTCTGTCTAGCTGTGTGTGTAAAATAAATCAGTAAATGTGTTACAAATATAGCTTTTCAATATAGTATAAGACTATGGGTTCCAAATTTATAAATGTAAAATAAAGAATAGATTATTTTTCATACTAACTTTAAAATAAATTACCTGGTTTTATTAATGAAGAGATACTACGTGTGCTATCAGAATATTTAATTTATCCAGCTCGCTGAATAATTTTCTTAATGTTTTAATCAAATTGAAATTATAGACATGCTGTCAACTCTATTTTTCACTTTGGCCCTACATTTAGCATATTTGTTTATTTACTTAAGAAAATTTGTTGAGAATATACTAGAAAATTATATTTTACCATGCACTTTAGCTGAATAAAGGTTTGTTGAAGTGCTAGACAATTCTTTCTGGGATTTTGAATCTAGAGAAGCAAATTATGAGGAAATATAGAACAGAATACAATTTCCATGAAAACTTTTGAAGACTATGATCATTTTTTCCAATATGATTTTTTCTCAAATAAGCAATTAACTATAGGTTCCTTTTTTTTCTGTATCAACATTACTCCAACATTTATTAACCCTCATAATTTCTCTCAAGTGTCTTCTTTCTAAACATCTATTTCTATTTTAAAGTCCCTATGATGTTTACAGAGTATAAAGATTGCCACCTTCTTTGTCAGATATCCCTAAATGAATTTTAAAGCTTAAAATACAATCAGTAAATCTATTTATATACTGTTATTGAATTTTCACTATTTTTTATTTGAAACTCAGAACTGAATCCTAAGCTTATCTAAGCTGTCAAGTTTTTTCTTAATTTTAACTTTCTTTGAACATTACAGAATATTATTAATTTTATCATGTGTTCAATCATAATTTTGTATTCATGAATAGTTGAATGTACTTTATTTGCAATGCCATTGTGTGTATTGTGCATGAGATGTATTTTCATGAATACGATTCAGTGGCGTTTTGTATTTTTTTTTAAACTGAAAATACCTTAAGGTGCATTTGCTAATTAGCAGTAACTTTTTAATTTCATAAAGATGAGGAAAGCCATCAGAGTACATCTGATAAAGAAACAAAAGCAAGTTTAGTTACTATAAATAGAATTATATATGACTTTCTATTTTGGATAGCTAATATTCTAACTACTAGACTTTCACACACTTTCCATTTTTCCTGGAATTGTATAGGAATAACATCTTTATGGAATACTGAAAGAATGAATTTCATTTTTATTTAACCGTGCAGTTAATGTTTTCTTACTCATTCTTCCTCTGTATCTCATACTAGTCCATGTAAATACTAGAGCTGTTCGAACTATTCATTAATTGGCATCCACAGTAAAGCAACTTTTTAGGATGGAATAGTTTGGGGACCTCAGCAATAGTTAATACCACTTTTATTATTTTAACGTCTTTAAGATTAAAGATAGTCATCTTTTGAACCAGTTTGTTGACTATGTTTTATTCTAACTTAATGGGTTATTGAATCAATTCTTAAGTTAGCATAAAAGTATAACTATATTATAAAAATAGCTATCTTTTTATTACCTTTTCTATAGAATAGGAAGTATATGATTTACTTTTGTGTTCATTAGTGGTATATCATGTTTAGTGCATGAATTTGTTGGTTTTTTTTTTTTTACTGTTTGATTTTATTATTATTATTTTGGTGTGATTGTTTTTTATTTGGATTTTTAATGACTGTAATTATTAATCACTATTGTCTGTTTTTAATGTTATAAAGACAATGAGGGAGAAACTCCAAATCCAGCTAATAATGGGAAAAAAGGCAAGTCTAAAAATGAAGCTAATAGTGCCTTTCTATATATTAGACAAACCATATTTACATTTTTAATATATGTGAATATTCTTAGATAATGTGTTTACTTAAGCTAAATAAGCATAACGTATTAGTACCAATTTAAGTTATTCAATATTTAAAATGTCTGTTTTTTACAAAATTTATTTCTGAATATGAAATTCACCTTCAAAATACTTTTCTTACTGATTCAGGTGCAATCCTATTTTATTGAAATGTTTGACATTAAAATCAAAAGATTTGCTTTGTTGATCATGTTAGAAGGCAAAATTCTGAGGAACTTGTGGTGATCATCTTATCAAGTGTTTAGTAAAATACGACAAAGATGTATTTCCTTTTTTTTGTTTTGTTATTTCTATTTGTATTTTTTCCCAATCAATGGTTATCTTTTGTTGCATCTTTAAAATATCACAGATGGGTCTTAAAAATAGCCTGGCATTTTGCTTCAATAGCTGGAAAACTCATATCTTATTTCTCAGCCTGTTTAAATGTTCCTTTTTCAGGGACATAGATATATCTTAAAATAGCTAAAAAAAAATCCTTATTTTTAACTATTGTAACTTGCTGAATTAAAACAGCTGAATTTGAAAAAAGCTC